ACAGGCCAATCCTATGGTAAAGCAACTGGCAACAGCTTGGGTGGGCCTCAAAGTTGGGTGGGGCAGGGCCTCAGGGAATCACCAAGGTGGGGCTATCGGTATGAGCCAGGTTGCTGGAGTCCCAGGTATGGGGACTATCTGTCGCCCCAGGGACGGGCTCACCAAAGGAACAAAGGCCTCTGACAGGACATCTGTCCAGGAGAAAGTCCCCTCTCCAGCCCTCGCTCCAATGCCAAACAGCTCAGTTCTTCCCTGTATGTCTCTGGTGCCCCTCAAGCTGTCTCCCCTCTAAGCTTAGAGAGAGTGAGTCCAATAAGTCTGTGCGCGGGCCCTTTAAGGAGCTGCCTGGGGCTCCAGCTGCCTCAGCCTCCCTGAGCCTCGGTTCCCGCTGGATTTTCCAGCCAGAAGTTATGGGGACTTCTCTTCCTGGAACTGGGACCCCGAGCGGGGCACCTGGTGTGGGATGGGGACCTCTTAGTCCTCAGGGAGGACCTTCCCAGCCGAGGTGTCCTCCTGATTTTTATCCACCACACGTGGGTGTGGGACCAGCCCATCCGCCTCCGCCCCTCCTACGAGTCTCGATGTGGCTGGTGCTTTAATTCCGTAGTTGTAGGACTTCCATTCAGCTTGATTTCAGGCAGTTTTTTATTTTTGTTTTTTTTTATCCTCACCTGAGGACATTTTTTCCATTTTTTGTACAGATAGAGTGGGAGGGAGAGAGAGAGAGAGAGAGAGAAACATAGATGTGAAAGGGACACATCGAGTGGCTGCCACCCGCACGACCAACCAGGGCCGGGGACAAACTGCAACCGAGGTACATGCCCTTAGCGGGAACCGAACCCGGGTCTCTCTGGACCGCAGGCGAACGTTCCAACCGTTGAGCCAAACCGGCCAGGGCCACTTCAGGCAGTTTTGAGTGATGGTTGTTCTTTAGTTTAGTTGTAACTTTGATGTGGTTGTGGGAGGGCGTGATACTGCGTTGACCTACGCCACCATCTTGACCGGAAGTCTCCAGATTTCATTCTTTTTTATGGCTGAGTAATATTCTATTGTATATATGTACCATTGCTTTTCTATCCACTCATCTATTGATGGGAGCTTGGGATGCTGCCATATCTTGGCTATTGTAAAAAATGCTGCAATGAACATAAAGGTGCATATATTCTTTTGAATTCGTGTTTTGGGTTTCTGCAAATATACACCCCGAAGTGGAGTCACTGTGTCATAAGGCAGTTCCATTTTTAATTTTTTTTTTTTATCCTCACCTGAGGACATTTTTCCATTTTTTTGTTCAGACAGAGTGGGAGGGAGAAAGAGGAAGAGAGAGAGAGAAACATCGACGTGAACGGGACACATCGAGTGGCTGCCACCCGCACAACCAACCAGGGCCGGGGACAAACTGCAACCGAGGTATGTGCCCTTAGCGGGAACTGAACCCAGGTCTCTCTGGACCGCAAGCCAATGCTCTAACCGCTGAGCCAAACTGGCCAGGGCCATTTTTAATTTTCTGAGGAAACTCCATACTGTTTTCCACAGTGGCTACACCAGTATCTGCATTCCCACTAGCGGTGCACAAGGGTTCCCTTTTCTCCACACTTTTTTGATTTATTGATGATAGCCATTTTGACAGGTATGAGGTGATATCACATTGTGGTTTTAATCTGCATTTCTCTGATGTATAATCAGATACTTATTTTGACCTTTATCTTAATACACAGAATCATATGATTTAATGAATGTCAAAAAGTTGTATTCTGAGTCAAACTAGTGTTTTCTCTCCACTTACATTTTTATTGAATTCAGTTCTAATGAGAATAGATTGTTTTTAAGAGTTATGTCTGGCCCTGGCCAGTTTGGCTCAGCGGTTAGAGCGTCGGCCTGCGGTCCCGAGAGACCCGGGTTCGGTTTCCGCTAAGGGCACGTGCTTCGGTTGCAGTTTGTCCCCGGCCCTGGTTGGTTGTGCGGGTGGCAGCCACTCGATGTGTCCCTTCGCGTCGACGTTTCTCTCTCTCTCTCCCTTCCTCTCTCTCTCTCCCACTCTATCTGTACAAAAAATGGAAAAATATCCTCAGGTGAGGATAAAAAAAAAAAGAATTATGTCTAAAACATCTGAAACAGTCCCAGGACAAAACTACACCACAGTGATTATCCGTAGGATGTCACACAGAGAGAGACTCTGGCCTCCGCTAGCACTATTCTTCTTATATTCAAGAGATATGTTAAACTAATCATAAAGGATTTTATCAGCAGGATACATGTATCTTTCAGGTTGTTTTTCAACAGTGATGTTAAAATGTCACCAATTCATTTATCTACACATTCCTTTTACCCACAACATAATAAACTTTTTAGCTTGGTGTTTAAAATCTTCTATAATCAGAAACTACCTGATTGCCAGAGGAAGGGAATATAGGGGTGGGCAAAATAGCTAAAGGTGGTCAAAAGGTACAAACTTATAGTTATAAGATAAATAAATCCATAGGATGTAATGTATGGCATGGTGACTATAGTTATCAATACTGTATTATATATTTGAAAATTGCTGAGAATAGATCTTAAAAGTTCTCATCACAAGAAAAAAATTGTAATTATGGGTGGTGATGGATGTTAACTATCATTTAATAATAGATACATATATTATGTTATTAGTTGCATGCCTAAGAATACTATTAATGCTATATGATGATATCTCAAAATGTGTATTTAAATAAATGAATAAAATGGTCAGATGGAAAGATAACAGGGTTAGTTAAATGCAAGCATTACTTTTTTTTTTAAGATCTAATTGGGGGGGAATTAGTGGGGGAAAAATGAAAAACATCTGTAACAAAAAATTAATTAATTAATAAAATAAAGATCTAATTGGCTTTATTAAGCGATTCATTTAATCAGGAAGCATCACATCAGCATGTAAAAGGGTACTCATCCAAATGTTACTTTTTTTTAACATCACCAAAGCAATTCATGTTATATTTTGATACAATATTAGTGGAAAACTAAAAAAATAAAAGAAAAACAAACTTTCCATGTATAAATATTTTATGCATGAGGGGGACAAATTTTACTAGTAATATCAAGTAAAAACTTGGTGATATTATATAAAGAGATTTACATCCTACATTATTTTTCTTTATTACTATTTCATTAGTGTCTAGTCTTCTTTTTTCTTAAAAAAAAAGATACACTGTAATAAAGGCATATATGTGATTCCACGAATACATAACTGAAGTCACTAATAGTGGCAGTTGCTGAAACTATAACCAAAAGTTAGGCTTCAAAATATACTGGGATATGTGTATTGAAATTGTGTAGTATAATTCAAATGTAACCCTGGAATAAAAAAAAAAAAATGGCTTGGATTCTTTTTTATATGTGTTTCATTTCTATTATGTAAATAAAATAAAAACACATTAAATATTCTTTTTTTTTTTTGGTATGGTCCCCTAGTGGGAACCAAACCTGGGACTCTCTGGTCCGCAGGCTGACACTCCAACCGCTGAGCCAAACCGGCCAGGGCACACATTAAATATTCTTACAAATGTTTCAAAATTCTATGTTTTATAGAAATTATAAAATGAGAGGCATTTGGGGCATATAAAATCTTCCACATTCGGAAATGACCTGGTTGCCAGAAGCAGGAGGTAGAGAGTGAAAGTAGTCAAAAGGTACTTTTAGTTAGTAAAGGGAACTAGATTGTTATAACCTAGAAGGCTCAAGATTATAGGCCTGTGTGACAAATAAGTGGTCAGTAAGAATTTATCAATACTTTCCATGTATCCACTGTTATGGAATTGCCAGTATCACCATTCTACACCGAAGCCTCTGGCCAAAACTGACCTCATCAATAAAACATCTGTGGTGAAAATGATGCAGAACTGAGAAGCTTCCTCAGAACTTCCAGGCAATTTTCCTCCTGAGAAAGCCCTCTTCCATACTGTACACTATAGAATCTTGCAGTTATCGCCCTGCTTGATTTGGCTTAGGGTTTGGAGCACTGGCCAGCGGACCAATGAGCCACAGGTTCGATTCCTGTCAAGGGCACGTACCTCGGTTGAGGTACGGTCTCCAGCCCTGGTTGGGGTTGTGCAGGAGGCAGCCAATTGATGTGTCTCTCTCACATCAATGTTTCTCTCTCTCTCTATCTCTCCCTCCCACTCTATCTGAAGATAAATGGAAAAGTATCCTCAGGTAAGGATTGAAAAAAAAAAAAAGAATCTTGCAGTTATCATCTGTAACCAAAAATTGTTCCATGTAAGGAAGCAGTTCATCTCTTAATAACTACCTCAGCAGTTTTTAAAAAATGCCACAAATTGTGTAGATTCACCATTATACTATCATAGATCACTGAAATCCATACCTATCCAAATTATTCTTTAATAAAAAAAAATAATAATATATAGAAAAAGAAACTACCTGTTATAGACTGAATATTTGTGTTCCCCACCCACCCAAATTCACATACTGAACACTAACTCCCTAGTATGGCTATATTTAGAGATAGGGCTTCTAAGGCTAAATGAGGTAATAAGGGTGGGACCCTTCCTGATTTAATGAGATTAGTGTCCTTATAAGAAACACCAAAGCACTCTCTCTCTCCCTCACCTTCCTTTCATCTCCCCCACCCCAAACCCATGCACTGAGAAAAGGCCATTTGAACACACAGTCTTAAGCAGCTCTCTGCAACCCAAGGACCCAAGGTAAGCCCTCTCGTTAGATACCAACCTTGTTGGCACTTTGAACTTGCAGAGCTGTGAGGAAATAAATGTTTGTTGTTTAAGCCACCCAGTCTGTGGTACTTTGTTACCGGAGTCTGAGAAGACTAATACGTGATCTCTATTACTACTAAATGTTCCCTACTTCCGCGTGTTTTCAGAAAATGTACTTCGCTGAATTCTACCACATGAGAAATATTCCACTGAACTTAACACGGACATCAGATTCATAAACAGTATTATTTGCAATCATTTGCTGTCAAACTGCCTTGTAAAAATCATGCTTACCCTTGAAGAGTAATGTACTCTTGAGAGCTTTCCGCCCAACATCCACTCAGCATTGCAGCAAAATAACTAGATCTGGCGCTTAAAATGGCTCTAAAGGGAAGAGGGGGAAAAACACAGGTAAACATTTATATACTATGAAAAATGTAACTTAAAATATTTAAATATGTTTTTATTGATTTTTAAAGAGAGAGGAAGGAAGAAGGAGAGAGAAAAAGAAACACTGATGAGAGAGAAACACGGATTGGCTGCCTCCTGTGCGGGCATCAAGCCCACAACCTGGACATGTGCCCTGACCTGGAATTGAATCAGTGACCTCTTGATGCACAGCTTGACACACTCAACCACTGAACCACACCAGCTGAGCCAAAATGTAATTAAAAAAAAAAACCTCACCCAAGGATATTTTTCGATTTATCATAAGATAGAGTGGGAGGGAGGGAAAGAGACAGAGAGAGGGAAAGAGCAAAACATCCCTGGTTGCCTCCCCCATGACCCAACCAGGGCCGAGAAGGAACCGCAACTGAGATATGTGCCATTGACCAGAATCAAACCCATGACTCATTGGTCCATGGGCCAACGGTCTAACTACTGAGCCAAATCGGCCAGGGCCAAAATGTAATTTTTCATGAAACTCTTCATCTTTACCTTTTAAAATATGATAATCTATTTGTCTTGTTTGTACTCACTGATAGAATCATTATAATAAAATTATATTTATACCTAAGTATTTTGATTGCTTGATTATAACATTAATTCCAATGTACTTCTTACTTTTTAAATTTTTTCTCTTGAAAGCTCTTTAATTTAGAAAAAGTAGAAATGATTTCCATTAAGAGAGTAATAAATCATCTACAAATGGTGAAATAAAGACCAAAAGATATTATTAATTTCTTGAGGAAATATCAATAAAAGAGAAGCTAGAACTCTAAAGGACCTGAGTTTGAGTTCAGAACTTAACCCTAATTATACTCAAGAATGGCTATATATTAGGCTTGAGAAAATGGCAGTAAAGATATTTTCTTGTGAATTTCCATTATATCATCTCAGATAAAATATTAATTAATTCATTCTTTAATTCAACAAATATCTACTGACTTCTATTTTGTGCTAGGCACTATTTTTGGATGCTGGAAATACAGTAGTAAATGAGATACTATAAAGAACAATGTTATATTCTAATAGAGGATGGGAGAGGGAGAATAGAAAGACACCTTTGGCAATGGCCTACTAGGTTGTCTCAGATCAACCCTCCTGCTGTAAACAGCAAGGAATATGGTCAAAATATATATCTTTTTAAAAAAAAAAAAAAAAGTATTTTATCCATTTTGAGTTTATTCTTGTGTATGGTGTAAGTTGATGGTCTAGTTTCATTTTTTTTGCATGTAGCTGTCCAATTTTCCCAACTCCATTTATTAAAGAGGCTGTCTTTACTCCACTGTATGCTCTTGCCACCTTTGTCAAATATTAATTGAACATAATGCCTTGGGTCCATTTCCAGGTTTTCAGTTCTGTTCCACTGGTCTATGTCTGTTCTTGTGCCAGTACCAGACTGCTTTGATTACAGTGGCTTTGTAGTGTAAGCTGAAATCTGGTAATGTGATCCCTCCAACTTTGTTCTTCTTTTTCAAGATTGCTGGGGCTATTCGGGGTCTTTTTTGGTTCCATATGAACTTTTGAAGTATTTGTTCTAGTTCTGTGAAATATGTCGTTAGTATTTTGATGGGGATTGCATTGAATCTATAGATTGCTTTGGGTAGTATGGACATTTTAATTATGTTAATTCTTCCAATCCATGAACAAGGTAAGTGCTTCCACTTTTATATATCTTCCTCTGTTTCTTTTTTCAATGACCTGTAGTTTTCTGCGAATAGGTCCTTTATTTCTTTGGTTAAGTTTATTCCTAGGTATCTTAGTTTTTTTGCTGTGATGGTAAATGGGATTCTTTTTTTAGTTTCTCTTTCTGTGAGTTCATCATTGGTGTATAAGAACGCCATCGATTTCTTGATGTTAATTTTGTAGCCTGCTACTTTGCCAAATTCATTTATTAAGTCTAGTAAATTTTTGATGGAAACTTTGGGGTTTTCTACCTATAGTATCATGTCATCTGTGAATTATGACAGTTTCACTTCCTCCTTTCCCATTTGGATCCCATTTATTTTTTCCTCCTGTCTGATTGCTGTGGCTAAGACTTCCAGTACTATGTTAAATAACAGTGGCAAAGTGGGTATCCTTGCCTTGTTGCTGTTTTTAAGGGAAATGCTTTTAATTTTTGCCCACTGAGTATGATGTTGTCTATAGGTCTTTCATATATGGCCTTTATTATGTTGAGATATGATCCCTCTATTCCCAGATTGCTGAGCATTTTTATCAGAAATGGGTGCTGGATTTTGTCGAATGCTTTTTCAGCGTCTATTGATATGATCATATGATTTTTATCTTTCATTTTGTTTATGTGGTGTATCACATTTATTGATTTGCAAATATTGTACCAGCCTTGCTTCCCTGGGATGAATCCTACTTGGTCATGGTGAATAGTTTTTTGGATGTATTGCTGGATCCGATTTGCTAGTATTTTGTTCAGGATTTTGGCATCTATGTTCATCAGGGATATTGATCTGTGGTTTTCTTTCTTTGTAGTGTCTTTTTTCTGTTTTTGGAAGTCTTCCTTTTTTCTTGAGTTTTTTGAAATACTTTGAGGAGAATGGGTATTAGTTCTTCTTCGAATGTTCAGTAAAATACCCCCGTGAAGCCATCCGGGCCTGGGCTTATGTTTGCTGGGAGAGTCTTGATTACATCTTCAATTTCTTCTGTTGTTATTGGTCTGTTCAAGTTTTCTATTTCTTCCCGGTTCAATTTTGGGAGACTATGTGTTTCAAGAAATTGATCTATTTCACTTAGATTGTCGAATTTGTTGCTGTATAATTGTTCGCAATATTTGTTAACAATCCATTGTATTTCTGTGGTGTCAGTTATTATTTCCCTTCTTTCATTTCTGATTTTGTGTATTTGGGTTCTCTCTCTTTGTTTCTTGGTGAGTCTAGCTAAGGGTCCATCAATCTTGTTTATCTTTTCAAAGAATCAGCCCTTTGTTTCATTGATCTACTGAATTGTTTTTTTTGGTCTCCATGTCATTTTTTTCTGCTCTGATCTTTACTATTTCCTTCCTTCTACTTGCTCTGGGGTTTTCTTTTTGTTTGCTTTCTAGTTCTTTAAGTTGTGAGGTTAGATATTCTGTTAGAAATTTTTCTTGCTTCTTGAGGTAGGCCTGTAGTGCTATGAACTTCCCTCTCAGGATTGCTTTGGCTGCATCCCACAGATTTTGTGTTGTTGTGTGTTCATTTTCATTGGTTTCCAGGAAGTTTTTAATTTCTTCCTTGATCTCCATGGTAACCCATTCATTGTTCAAGAACATGCTATTTAGTCTCCATGTGTTCAAATATCTTTGCATGTTCTTGTTCCAATTGATTTCTAGTTTCATGCCATGGATAAAAGACTTAAATGTGACTCATGAATCCATAAAAATCCTAGAAGAAAATGTAGGCAACAAACTTTCAGACATTATACGCAGCAGAATTTTCACTGATACATCACCTAAGGCAACAGAAACTAAGGAGAAAATGAACACATGGGACTACATCAAACTAAAAAGCTTCTGCACAGCAAAAGATACGATCATCAAAATGGAAAGGCAACCCACTGTATGGGAGAGCATAATTGCCAATGATATATCAGATAAGGGGTTAATTTCCAGTATATATAGAGTGCTCATAAAACTCAACAAAAGGAAGACAAAGAACCCAATTAAAAAATGGGCAGAGGAACTAAATAGACACTTCTCCAAACAGGACATACAAATGGCTAAGAGACATATGAGGAAATGCTCAACATCACTAATCATCAGAGAGATGCAAATTAAAACAACAATGAGATATCATCTCACACATGTCAGAATGGCCACTGTCAAAAAATCATCAAACAATAAGTGTTGGCGAGGGTGTAAAGAAAAGGGGACACTGGTACACTGCTGGTGGTGATGCAGACTGGTGCAGCCACTATGGAAAACAATATGGCGTTACCTCAAAAAATTAAAAATTGAACTGCCATTTGACCCAGTGATCCCACTTCTAAGACTATACCCTAAGAAGCCTGAAACACCAATCAGAAAGAATATGTGTACCCTCATGTTCGTAGCGGCACTATTTATAATAGCTAAGATCTGGAAACAACCCAAATGTCCATCAGTAGATGAATGGATAAAAAAGCTGTGGTACATATACACAATGGAGTACTATGCAGCTATAAGAAAGAAAGATCTTTTATCCTTTGAGATGACATGGCGGGACCTGGAGAGTATTATCCTATGCGAAACAAGCCAAGCAGAGAAAGACAAATATCACATGATCTCACTTATTTGTGGAATATAATGAACGTAACAGTCTGAGGAATGGGGTAGCCCCAGAGACGTGGAAGTGGGGTACAGAGTGACAACCCCCAGAAGAGGAGGTGGGGGGAAGATAAACCACAGAACTTATTTTCATATATGTATGAACAATGGACATGGACAACAAAGGTGGGGACAGGGTGGGGAGGGAGGAAGAGGGGGAAATTAGTGGGGAAAAAGGAGAAGCATCTGTAACAAAAATAAAAAAATAAATTTTAAAAGAAAGAAAGAAAGAAACATGATTTGAAGGCACCAGAAAGCTACTGTGATGGTAGCTTTTAAGATAAGTTATAAGAGAGAAGACAGCCCTGGCCGGTTTGGCTCAGCGGTTGGAGCGTCGGCCTGTGGACCAGAGAGTCCTGGGTTCAGTTCCCGCTAGGGGCATGTACCCAAAAAAAAAAAAAAAAAGAGAGAGAAGACAAAAGAAGTGATCCAAGTATTTCAGATAACTTTTTCCACTGAGGCAATTGCCAAACCAGAAAGCAAAAGCAATGGTTGGGAGGCTAAAAGCTGAGCATGGCTCTAATACTCTTCACAGGCTTATAGGCACACAAATTGGAATTTGGTGTCCATCAAAGAGGGGAGGCTTCCATTGATACCCCAAGGTTACAACTGTACTCTGTCTCTGGACCACAGGCCGATGCTCTAA